CTCTCTCTCTCTCTCTCTCTCTCTCTCTCTCTCTTTTCTTTTAAAATTTTGCGGTGGTGCTACACATGGTGATATGAGCGTTCCCAGTAGCACCTTCCTCAGATGGCTCCGGTGTATTGGCGGGGACTCTGGGAGCGACACCTGCTGGAAACTGGGTCCAGAGTCCCGTACAGAAAAAATACATGAAGAATGTGTTGGTGCACTTCTTACTAACTTCGCTCTCCAGATGTTTGACAGAACTGCTCTCAGTTCTACCTCTGCTGTCTGTTTGATTTCTATCAATAGGTTTCCTGGTGACCTGTTGCTGTCCTCAAATAAGTTATTTCTACACATCTCCTTTTCCACAGGGCCCAGAGAACTACTGCATTACCCCCCTCTCCTCGTTCCTCCTTAAATGGCTGTTTTGCACTGAAAAGAGAAAAGAATTAGTCACTTCCACAATCCACGCCCTCTCTACCTCACTAAGCCCATCTTCAGCAAAATCACGAGTCTTCACCCCCTCAAGGAGCTGACACATAGCCACCTTCCCTTCATCCACAACTCTTTTAGCAGCGAGTAGATCCTGTGATCGGCCATAGGCAGAAACTCCCTAAAGGCAGCCCCCTATACTCCAAGAGATGGAGAATGCACCACCTGCCACAATCTGCAGGCGAGTTCTGGCCATGATGGTCTTCAAGGTCGACCACACGGAGAGTACACCAACAACCCAGAAGGGCAAGAAGAAGAGAATTATCCACGTCTGGGAGGAGGTACGGAGGACAAGGACAGTAAACATGCCGATAACCCCAAACCAAATCATGTGAAAGATCACCACAAACATCAGATCCCCACAGTTAACCAAGCCAAGTGGTGGAATATCCAGGACCAGCTCACTACTGGTTGCGGACATAGAAATCTTGGACCCTGGCGGTTTTTGTTGAAGAGACAGTCTGGCCCCCACACTCCATCCGGGCAAGACGACAGCTGCATCTGGGCGCACAGCTGCATCCGGGCGCACCTCTACCACAAGTTTCTGAGTTCTCAATGCGGAGATCACATCATGTGCATGCTGGATTCGATCCTCCGGTGCTGGCTGCAACAACTTGTCCAGCACATTCGCCAGATACCAGCTCATCTGCACCTGGTCGCGAAAGTGGATCTTGAGCCGCTTCTGCGGGAAATCCGACGGCTGTCGACCGGACAACGAATACAGCATGGTTCCCCCCAGAGCATAGAGGTCTGCCTGGCTTACAAACCTCTTCTGAGACTGCTCAGGGGCCATGTATCCATGTGGCTTGAATCCCGCACTGCTACTGGCTCCTACCTTCGGCGCCATCAACCCATCTTGCACCGCCCCGAAACCAGCCACCTTGACATGTCCCTCCCAAGTCGCTTCCAACTTGGCACTCTTAAAGTCAACGATGATGTTGGCGGGCTTAATCTTGCCATGAACTACCCGCCAACTCTCCACAGCTATATCCACAATGTCCTTCTCAGAGAACCCAAACCCCGGCTTCCACACCAGTTCCTCCAACGACTGACCATTAGGAATTTTCTGGACAAGATAGAACGACCGGTAGCCTCCCCAGTCGGCTTCAAAAAAGTCAACATACTCCGGAATACCATGAGGACTCAGGGTCTTCAACAGCTGGGACTCTCTCTCGAAGAGCTGGACGTCTTCCCATGCTGACATCAATGAAAGGGACTTGATGGCCACCCTCTTCCCTTCCCTTGTCTCACCTTCGTAGAAGGTTTCCAGACCATCTCCCCCACCCAGGAACCCCTTGATGACATACCCCCCTTCTTTCGGGGAGACCCGAAAGCCAGGACCAATTTCATTAGGTTCACTACCCCTGACCTGTTCTTGTGGAGGTGTCGTCCCAGCCTCCCCTCCCCCAGGTGTCAACGCAGCCGATGGCGCGGTTACCTCAACGGACCCCTCCATCGTAGCAGCTCCTTCGGATCTTGCCTTCCTCCTTAGAGCGCCTAAGACCTCCTTAGAGCGCCTAAGACCTATCTCCCTCTGTCTGGACCACCTTCTGAAAATGTTGTCCTTCTCCAGCTGACCAACTTGAGTCAACGAGTTGATTAGGTGTCTTCGGCTCTACGCATAAAACAGCAGTTGTCCATCAGATGGGCTGGAGGGGGGTGGGATGGGGAATGGAAGGGAAGTGGGGGACGAGGGAGGGTGACCGGGGAAAGGAGGGGGCTTCGGTGGGAGAAGGAAAGAAGGACCATGATCCATCATCCATGAAGGAGATAATAAAGTATCACAGGGTTACAATCAGACATCTGATCGATGTTACTTCAATGTCACCAGAAGTATTCTTCTTGTTCCACGTTTAGTGAGCCCGTTACCACATTCATACAATAATAAGAATAGGGGTAACTATGGCGCAGTCACAAAATAAGTTTGAAAATGCACTCCAGGCATCCCCGAAAGTGACACACCCCCATTCCACATTTTCAAGCCTTTTGCCTGAAATGCATTTTCAAACTCAGCCCCAGTTTTCATAAATATATATATATATATATGACGATATATATACAGGGTAACCGGCGGTCGGGACGGGCCGAACGCCCGAACGTATGGGAACCCTTGGGGATGCGTTCGGCCGTTCGGGCCGAACGCGGACCCAAAAAAATAAAAAATAAAAAATAAAAAAGTCATCAGAAAACTCTGAAAAAAAGATACGTTATGAAGAAAAATAAATTAAACAAGATTTGCCTGAGCATTACATCCGAATTCCTTACCAAATTTGAAATAAAAATAAAATACGGAAAACAAATACTAATAAATTAATAATAAATAAAAATAAAAATAAAAAGAGAATTAAATTTACCGAGTGCGCGAGCATGTTTTTGACACCGCCGTCTTTGGCGATTTTTCATTTTTTTTTAATTATAGCTATATGCCTAGAAATTTACAGATGTGTACTTCACATAATACAAAACCCACTAAAAAAATTTCAAAAAATAATAAAATTGTTTAGACCCTGAACTAAAGTGAAAACAAAAAGTAAAAAGTGAAAAAATACGTAAGCGAGCACACTGCCATCTTTGGCGATTTTTAATTCTTATTTGGCTTAGCCAAATGACTTGAAAATTTACAGGCATGTACCTCACGTCATAGAGAACTCAAAAAAACTTCAGAAAGAAATAATTATTTTTAGGCCCCGAAATAATTTTTGACGGGGGCCGAACGCCGGCGGGTTCGGACCCCGTACGGGACCCCGAACGAACGCCCGTACGCACGGAGGTCTGCCCGGGGACCTCCGTACGTACGGACTGGTGACCCTGTATATATATATATGTATATTGTCACAGACCTATTGACTAAGAGCATAAGCACGTGACGTAGAAGAAGAAATAAGATGAGCGAAGAGAAAAAAAAATGAAAGGACAGACAGGCAAAGAGACAGACAAACCCGAATGACACAAAACAGTGTCCTCTTATTCTTTGTTTCACTGTATTATTATTTCTTTCAGTGTTTTACAAAAAAAAATTACACTGAATCAAAGGATAAAAATAAAAAACAAAGACACATTGAAATCATTCAGTTTCTCAGTCTTCTTAACGCCTCCTCCACTATGCCTCTAATGTACAAGGCTCGCAACGTTGATGAAGTTGAGCGTGAGCTGCCTACGAATCCCCCCCGGCAGCGGCCAAGCGCGGCCAGGCCCGCGACCCCGCAGACGTGTCCGCGCGGCTTTGAAGTCACGTGGCGGCCAGTGGGGAGGGGGGTTGGAGATTCGGGAAGCGCCATGGGGCGGCACAACCCCAGCCCCGCCCCCTCGAACAAAAGAAAATAAAATAAAATAAAAATTTGGTTCGGGGGGTTTGGCCGTGACTGCAAATAATTGGAAAAAAAAGAAAACAACGCACTTTTTTTTTCCGTTGATTGATTGATTGATTGATTGATTGATTGATTGATTGATTGATTGGTGGTGGCGGGGTCGCCCCACCCCACCTTTGATTGATTGATTGATTCATTCATTCATTCATTCATTCATTCGGTTTTGCTTCTGTTTTTTTCTTTTTTGATTGATTGATTGATTGATTGATTG